ATTTTTTTTTTTTTTTTTTTTGATTTATAATTTTCTATCTTCATCATTACTCTTGTTTTTATTGTTTCTTTAATATATTTCATGTATTTTGTTATTCTTGGTTCTACATATTTTTCTAACGCATTTACTATTCATTATATAATACAATGAACTAATGAGATATATATATCTGTAAGAAATTAAAAATATATATACATACATAATATTTGACAATTGATCGAATATATTATTATATCTATTGAATGCTTTTCGATAGCAAGGTGTAACCTATTAAAAAAAAACTGTATTTAAAATTTGTCAAGTTTTATTTTCATAATTTATTGTCTATATTTTTATGAATATATAATAACCTGAACTGAAAAAATATAAGAATTTAACATTAGTATTATACTCTTTTTTGTTCTATTAGTATTATAGTATTATACATATTCCTATTAGAACGGTTATAAGAAACAGAAATGGGTTTATTAGCTGCTGGGACACCATTGACTTGGTACGATTCAAGACGTTATAATGAACATGTTAGAACCGAAGGTATAGAACAACTGCTACAAGTTATGAAAGCAACCGCAAGTAGAGATCACGATCCTTTATATTGGGGTGATGAATTGGAATATATGTTGATGGAAATAGATGATACAAATTGCAACACTATGCTGGACGTTGTCGATGATAAAATTATTACTGATTTAAATACTGATGATTACCAACTTTGCAAAGATAATAATGTTGAAATACATCCAGAATATGGTAGATTCATGGTAGAGGCAACTCCAGGTGGTCCATATCACGGCTTAGCTAATGGACATTTCGTGGAAAGTAATATGGTAGAAAGAAGGAAAATTATCGATTGGAAATTAAATCAATATGCTAGACGATTACCAAAGGGTAAAAGATTATCTGTATTGACTATGACTTCTTTTCCTAGACTAGGTGCATCAGGTAAATTTTTGAATATTGAAAATCAATGGGATCATAAGAATTCTGCATCAAGATCCTTGTTTTTACCTGATGAAGTCATTAACAGACATGTTAGATTTCCAACTTTAACAGCAAATATTAGAGTGAGACGTGGTGAAAAAGTATGCATAAATTTGCCAATGTACAAGGATAAATTTACTCCAGAGTATGATACTTCCATACAAGACAGAGAATGGTTTATCCCAGAAGATTTGGAATCGAAATTAGCCTCGAAGAAAGGACATATCTATTTGGATGCAATGGGGTTTGGTATGGGTTCAGCTTGTCTACAAATGACCTTCCAAGCTCCAAATATTGAAAAGTCAAGGTTTCTTTACGATTCTTTAGTGAATTTTGCTCCTATTATGTTAGCTGTCTCTGCAGCTGCACCTGCATTTAAAGGTTGGTTAGTCGATCAAGATGTTCGTTGGAATGTCATTTCGGGAGCGGTTGATTGTCGTACTCCCTTTGAACGTAGTGTAAAACCTATCTTACCAAAATATAATAAGGATGGTCTTGGCGGTATAAATGAAGAAGAACAATCAAAATTGCAAAGAATTCCAAAATCCAGATATAGTTGTGTTGATTTGTTTTTAGGTGGTAAAAATAAACATTATAATCGTACTTATAATGACACGGAAGTGCCAATTAATGATAAAGTCTTAAATAGATTATTGGAGAATGATATTTTTCCATTCGATTATGATTTGGCTAAGCATTTTGCTCATCTATTTATTAGAGACCCAATTGCTATCTATGAAGAAAGTATAAATCAAGATAATATGACCTCAACAAACCATTTCGAAAATATTCAAAGTACAAATTGGCAAACATTACGTTTCAAAGTTCCAAATCAAAATGCCGTCCCATCAAATAAGTGTGCTCCTGGTTGGAGAATAGAATTTAGACCACTTGATGTCCAAATTACCGATTTTGAAAATGCTGCATATGCCAACTTCATCTTCCTTATAACTGAAGCCATTTTAATACTTGGCGAAAATTTAAATCCATATTTGAAAATGTCTCATGTATGGGAAAATATGGATAAAGCACATTCAATGGATGCTATAATAAAAGAAAAATTCCATTGGAAAGATACCTTCAATACCGAAAGTTCGACCACTTCATTAATGTCAATCAATGAAATTTTCCATAACAGTAAATCGGGTATATTTGCAACTTTTATTAATCCAATATTGATGTATAGAGGCTTGGTCAACAAGGAATGGCAAGAATTAAAGGAATCTGCCAATTATCAAAGGTTATATTACTATTTGAAAGTTATTTCTGATAGGGCATCCGGTAAGACCGTATCCGTAGCAAGATTTATCCGTAATTTAATTATTAGTCATCCAGATTACAAACAGGACTCCCAAATTTCTGAATTGATTAACTATGATTTGACTTTAGTATTTGAAAGATTGACCAATCTTGATAACGCAAATGACGAAATCACCGCACTGTTTGGTCGTTCTACCGCTGAATACTTGACATCAACTAAATTAAATAAATAGAATTATTGATATTAATTCTTCATTTTAAATATTAGTAATATAAAGTGTAACATATTCCGTTATAGATTAATATTTAATTAAAAAAAAATTAGATATATGGTTTAATATTTTAGTTGAAGAAATACATAGCCTATAATGCAACTTTAAATATTTTGGAAAATATATTTCATGATTCTGGGTTTTAAATTTCTAAAATACTAGGTTTGTTACAAAATATCAGTGTTAATATTAATTGCAATCCTGCAAAAATAAAACGGATAACATTTAAAAAAAAAAAATTTTCCATTAGCTTATTCTTCATGTCGTTGGAATACTTAATGAACCATTGTGATTTGCGATTATTTCATTTTATGAGAAAAGAAGGTATTAACAATAGGAATGTCCTCCTTTGGATATGGTTATTGAAATATCAGCAGTCAAAGAAAGGTTATCTAATATAATGTATCGTATGTGCTTCGACCCGTTCTACAGCGATACTTTATAAGTATGGCACATATGAGAAGAAATTGAGACTATTTAATATACCTCCAAAATGAGTAGTTGAGAAGACAGAAAAAGTCAGCGTCTCCTCATACCGAATACACTAATATTAAGATTTTACATCTCAAATTTGGTAAACATTTAGTCAATTAACTGTCAATAAGTTAATCTTGTATACAATTTATCATAATATTGAAGAATATTGATCATCCTCTTTTTAGTATCCTTAATTTATATTAGATTGTCAAACCTTTTACTACATAACTTTTTGTTTATGTAGATTGAACAAAAATAAAGCATTTTTCATGACACTTTCGACACTACAAACCATCATAATATATCTTCACAACGACGTAACCAATATATCATTTAAATGATATATCAAAAAATATTCTTCCCCGCCAGGACTCGAACCTGGAATCTTCTGGTTCGTAGCCAGACGCCGTGACCATTGGGCCACGAGGAACAAGAATTAGTAAAACGAGATTCCTGAAACAAATGAAATTATATCATAAACATCATAAAGGAGATAACTGGGTTTCAATCTTATAATATATTAATTATGTTGAATATGTAGCGGCAGCACTAAAAAGGCTAACATTAGCTTAACCTATCTGAAGGTGAAGGTAGCTAATATAAGTAGAATTTAGAGTGTGCTGCACTACCGTATATATAATA